TGAGGTGATGGTAGTTTGAAGTGAGAAGTCAACTGCCAGTTAATAAACTTTTTTGCCCAGGGTGCACCACGTGAAGGTAAGTCTATCTCACACCCCTACTCAATGAAGATATTAAAACTAAAACCATTTGAGACTGAGCTCACAGCAACCAGGTGTAAGACAATAGGCAAGTTGCCACTGAAGTGATCTTGACTACAAACTCTCCGGTGGGGGGTGGGGGTGGGGAGTAGAAAAATATACCCAAACAAAACTCAACGAAGCGTCATAGGTTAGCAGTCACAGCCGTTCGACGTTGTCTTCCTCTCATCCCTGAGTACCTCTTTCCATCATTCACTCTTTTATACCCTATGGACCTGCCTTCGCTGAATGAGTTCATTTAATAATACGCTATGCAAGTGAACATTATCTATTTCGGCCCATTACCCCCCCCCCCCACCCCCGGCAATTTTAATTCTCACTTTTGTCTACTACTTACTATTAGTTAGTACGATCTTTATTTTCTTTAATACGGTCCTACTGAGGAAATGTCAGCACTATTTTCTCTACTTTACCGTGTGAGGAGGCTAGAAATTAAGCTTAATTTAAAGCGTATTGGAATAATTGAGAAGTAATGAAGTGCGTGAATGGAAAGTAGTGGGTTTAGGAAATTTGGAGGGCAATAGATGGAGACAACGCGATTTGTAAGAAAAAGACGAAATGTGATTAAATATTGTGACTAACCGATTTAGCATTCACTTTTTTGCTAATAGGTTGGGAAAGGAAGTATACGTCGGCAGACGTCAGTATGTGGGTGGGGGGGGGGAGAGACTGAGTAGTCGGATGAGTCAGAAGGAGTAAGTACTACTGACTCCTCTTGGTATACGTACGAAATTTAAATTACAAAACTTTACTCCCAGGATTTTACTGGCCCTCGTAATCGCATAATAGGAAGAGCCTATCAACACTTTGGCTGGCTTTTTTACTTTAACTACAAGTGTCACCTAATTTCTCAAAGACTAATTACTCTAAACACAATCAAATTTGGGGTTTGAATGGATTGTCACCTTGAAAACAGCCAACAATGCATTTTCCTTCAAGACTTAGCACATCATATCAGAGTGATTAATTAGGCAGCGGATTGCTACTCTGAAAGGCCTTGTCTTATATTTAGTAATCTGGGGTGTACGATAGACTTACCTCCACGTGGTGCACCCTGGGCAACGTATTCTCATACAGCAAAAAGTCTATTATTCGGCAGATGACTTCTGACTTCAAATTACCATGACCCCACTGTATGCCATTTTCGACCACTTCCATGGTACTCATTTTAACTTTTTCCCAACCTTTGTGTCTTTCTCTTTTACATCTATAAACAACTCTTCCGTTCCTCCCTATCGACTTTTTCACTTTGATGTTCCTCCTCCCCTCTATGAAGCCCGTAGTCAACTAAATGGCTAATGATACCTATCAATGCGCCTGCCATATGATATAAATAAATAAATATTTAGTAATTTTGTGTTTGCGATAGACTTGCCTCCACGTGGTGCTCCCTGTGCAATGTATACTTATACGGCAAAAAAGTCTATTAATCGCCAGTTGACTTCTGACTTCAAATCACTATGGCCCGACTATTTGTCATATTCGATCCCTATCACAGTACTCATCTTACCCCTTCTGAGCCTTTGTGTCTGTCTGTCTGTCTCTTTTACATCTGTGAATCACTCTTCTGTGCCACACCTCCACTTTCTGTTACTCTGATATTCCTTCCTCTGTGAAGTCCGAAGTCAACTAAAGGGCTTAAGATAACCGTTAAATCGTCTGCTATTTGAAATAAATATATATCCAGTAATCTCTGTGGTATATAGCATTAGTTTAGAACGGTTCCCAAGAGTAGGGGTGCGCTCTGTGCTTGTTGTCATTGACTGAAGAGAGCTTAGTCGTTATATGCACTTTCGAGTATTACCAGTGTTTTCCGAAAATCTTCCCAAGGCGATTAAACGAAAAATTCCTTCTCATGAAACTATTTTTGGAACCAAATAATCGCCCACCCGAATAAGTCCAGTTGAGGTAATTAGAAACCATAAAGAGAGACTGTGTCATAATGTTGATAGTAGCATGTCATTCCTAACAAGAACTGGCAATAATATACTTTAATCAAAATAAAATATCACATACTACTATTTTCTAAATTAGTATACTCACAACACTAGAGAAGTTAGTAGAAAATGGTTTTTGAATAGCTGAGAACGCACCAAATATAGAACCTGGCTGCTAGAGTGCAAAGATTATCTTGAATCATTACAGAAGTACACAGTTAGACCGATGAGCAAAAAAGCGAAATCAGAGTTAAAAAAAATTGGTGCGGATTTTATAAAAGTGAAGGCAAAGCTAATCTCGGGAGAAATTTCATGTCAGTGGATTATACCGGACAGAGATTACTGAGGTTTGGATCAAGCATATTTGTATAGCACAATTAGGAGTTCATGGCCTACTTCTAAAATTAAATGAACTGGCTAATGATGTCGTGATACCACGATTATGAATTAACCCAGAACCCCACATTTGGATCATTGAAATGATTGTCCTCAATGAAAGTAGTTAAATTGCGTCTTCACTAACGAGATGAGCTGATCAGATGATGCAAGCAAAACCCGATCCAGGCATCTTTGTGATCTTTCATATGACTGCTTAATTTCGGCTGATTATTTTTATCACATATTATACCTTACTAAAACAAATTGTTGAGTCACTTAAACAAAATATGGAAGCAGACATAAAAGTTAAAACCCACCCTCATTTTTTAAATTCTTTTATATGCAGCAGACTATTTGAGTCCTTTCGAGGTTGACGTTACCTTCTTTAGACGTACCTTAAGGAATCATATCTTGAAATTGTAAGAATGTTTCCCGCACATTTTGACGTTTCTGCAAACTAAGCTAAGTATTCAATGAGAAATTCTAGATTGAAGGTCTGGATTTCGGTTCTGCTCTTTTCCCGAACTCAGTTTTCACCTACTGGCTTATACTCATACCCTACATTTCCATAGCTTAACAAAGTACACAGAATGCGAGAACTGTCAACCATCTCTTTTGAACCTCACCCCCCCCCTCCCTGCTTCTTCCATACCGAGTAGCAGGAGTTCCTCAGTTCTGATGCTCTTCGCTTCTTTTCCGGTGCCATTACCTTCTCCATACTTCCTTTCCAATTTTCGAAGGCATGAGGGCAATATCTGCCTTCTCACATTTTAAGGTGGCTGCTGTATCCTAGTAGCTTTATGGAATTGAATTATTTTAGTCCAATTTGATCTGCCTCGTAAGGTATCCTCTCATTACCGATAATAATCTGTTTATATCAAATGACAGGCGTTTCGATAGGTATCATTAGCCCTGGAGCCGACTTTGGGGCATCACAGAGAGGAGAAGGAACATCAAAGTGACGAAAATTCGAGAGGGGGGGGGAACAGAAGAGTGTTTCAAAGAGACAGACATAAAGGTAGAAAAAATATGAGGTGAGTACTGCGGAAGTAGTCGAATATGACATACAGTCGGGCCATGGTAGCTTTAAGTTAGAAGTCAACTGCCGGTTTATAGACTTTTTTGCCCTATGAGTATACGTTGCCCAGGGTGCACCACGTGGAGGTAAGTCTATTGCGCACCCCATTACCGATAATAAAGATACTTTAAATAACATTCTGAGTCTTGTGGTGTGTGTGCACAACTCTAAGAAAGTCTGAAGAGAAACCCTCACATGTGCACTTGAGCAGTCTGAAGGGTGTGACAGTTCAAGTGATCGTGTAAGGAGCAAGTGGGGTCGTGGGAGCAGAGAACTTCCAGCCGACCAACAATCAATAGTCGCGGCATTGTTGCCGCAGCCCTAATTTGTTTTTTGATTACTAAGTGTTGCGTCAGTGTTCTACTAGCTGTAATAAACGTTACTCACTCTGAATTCTGCATCCTCCATACTACTGAGGTAGCAAAGTTAACTTGAGGGTTTTGTCAGAGATTGTTGACGTTTAGTCAAGGCTAATTTGTGTGAGTTTGAACTAGCTGCGAATTCCAGTTCGTATCAACCACACAGACCAACTTGATTCGACCATCTAAAAATTAATTTGCTGTCAATCCCAGGAGCACGCTGCTCTCAGTAAGTCAACATTTTACAGATGACACCTCATCATACCCTTTAAAGTTACCAAATCAAACGTTCAACTTTACGGGGTGTGCGATAGACTTACCTCCACGTGGTGTACCCTGGTGGGTGTGCGATAGACTTACCTCCACGTGGTGCACCCTGGGAAACGTATACTCATACGGTAAAAAGTCTATTAACCGGAAGTTTGTGTGCGATAGACTTACCTCCACGTGGTGCACCCTGGGCAGCGTATTTTCTTACGGCAAAAAAGTCTATCACTCGGCTTTCGTTATATTCATACGGCAAAAAGTCTATTAACTGGCAGTTAACGCATACTCATACAGCAAAAAAGTCTATTACCTGGCAGTTGACTTCTGACCTCAAGCTACAATGGCCCCACTATATGTCATATTCTACCACTTCCACAGTACTCAGCTCTCTTTTTTCTATGCCTTTGTGTCTGTCTATCTCTTTCTCATCTTTGAATATCTCTTCTGCTCACCCTCTCGATTTTTCTCACTTTGATGTTCCTCCTTCCCTCTGTGAAGCCTGAAGTCAACTAAGGGGCTAATGATAACAATCAAAACGCCTGCCATTTTTTACAAACACATTCAACCTTCATTGCTGCCGAATTTTGGCTAGATTTCCAAACATGCTAACATAAGCTAATCTCTGAACAACCGACGGAGACGGGTTCACACAACGAAAGTAGAACCACAGCATTAATCCTCTCATAAAAAAGCAAAAATTTCCATTTTTGTTAAGATGATCAACTCGCGCAGAAGGAACCAGCAAGTTTAGATTTAGCGTATAAATGCTCTATTTCAAAAGGGTACATATAAAAATGCCTGAAAAAACAGAGGATACAGTCGCGGTCTTAATATATTTAACATCTAACCATCTGGCCAAACAGGCTCCATCTTACGATCAGGAATCCCATTTCGAGCTCCACAATAAGGTGGCGATGAGCGGCCACCACTAGACACCGTCCTTCTCCTTGAACGCTGAAGATATCGAGGCCTCACGGGTGATCGATCACGAGAAACGGTTCTACTATCGGAATAACGCGATGAATTTCGATTACGGGATGACCTGTCGTCATTGCCACCACGACGACGCAAACGATCACGAGAATCATCACGCTTTCTTCTACCCAAGTAAATACCCGGAGTGGGGTTATGTGGTCCCGATGTTAGGCTATAGTCAACTCGAGCTAATTTCCCGTCGATATCCAAGCCACCCTCGCAGCTTGACATTGCATTGCGTGCGTCTTCTAGGGAATCATAGTAAACGAATCCGAACCCTCGAGAACGACCTACAAAATGGGACCGAAATAAATAAATTAGATAGCATAAAAAACATCACTTGTTCAGATAGAGCAAGGGGGAAAAGCAGCAATAGTTCAATTGGACAGTCACATAGCGCAATTTTGACACAAACGTAGCGCTTGTCGACACCTCGCTTTTTGAGGGTTTGAGAATTAAACGCTCACACACACGTTGTAGCTCTCTGTAGATAAGGAGCAAAGTACCTGACATGTTGTCATAGACCATTCTAATATCGACAACTTTGCCATAGGCAGAGAAGATATCATGCAGATCACGCTCCTTGACGCTTGTTGAAAGACCGAAAACTCCTAGAACTTTGCAGGGCTTGATGGATTCATTTCGTCGATTCGGTGGACCACTACCGCGTCTATTCTCAAAGTTCCTACGTGATGACGAACCTCTTCTAATCTCTGAATCGCGATAACGAGAACGATCATCATCTCTATATGCGGGGCGACGATACCTCTCCTCTGTTCGTCTATAATTTGAAAGCAGTTAGTGATAAGACAATGATAAAAAGAACAAGTAGAAACAGAAAAAAACAACATACGGATAGTCATTACGACGTTCTCTCACAGGCGAAGCTTCGTAACTGTCGCGTCGTGAGCGTTGACGTCTGGATCCGTAGTTTTGACCATCGAAAGACATTGCAACTGAAAGTGGATTTGAAACGATTCGACGCAATCATTAAAGCTTAAGATTCCGAAAAGATTCTTTCATTCATTTTTTCTGTTTTCAAACTTGGTACTTTGATGTAGAGCGCGAAGTAAACTCATATTTCCGTTCACACCTTGAGTATGTCATGGCTTATGATGTTCAACTTTTTTGAGGGGACATAATGTCGAGGACAGTTACAAATCCTTGATTTGATTAGCGCGTACAAAGCAACCATTTCATGCTCCATTACAAAATCGAACCAACTTATGTGAATTATATCGCATTAAAACATTCGTATATAGATAACTATTCAACTTGAAATCGAGTCAAAAATAAGACCCGGGGAGACTCACCTGCCAGACACAGAAAAAGCTACTGAATCTCCCGGCGTTGGCTCAAACAATTGAAGGAAAATCGTCGGTCTGTTTTCAGCGTTAATAAATTTTCATAAAATTTAGATAAATTTATCCAATTAAGTTGAATTTTTCAGTTTGCAACAAGTGGTTGGAGTTTCGAGACCAGTTGATGCATGAATTTAGTAATTTACTGATCATTTTGTGCGACTGGAAGTTTCTGAAACAAATAATATATGAAATATTAATTTGAATAAAAATGTTATTGCCAAAAATTTTACCTTACAAATTTTTGGACTTTATTTACAGATTTTCAAATATGTTTCTAGAAAAGTACCTTATTCTGAAAATCTTCTGACTTTCAGACATTTGTTATCATTTAATTTATTAACCAATCTAACGGATAGTCTTGGAAATTTACAATGAAATGCTTGAAGCCGTAGATATTAATAAAGCTTCAAAAATTATTCAAATTATAACCGTTAATTGCACTCGAGTACTCCAAAGTACAAATGAAAATTAAATTTCAATTATAATGTTCATTATAAAGCTAAATCTACATTCTCTTCAAGTTGTGTAACAGTTCAAATAAAGCATCACATTCAATTTTTCCTCTTTGAATCTCTGTTTGCCAGGACAATTCATAAACGGTTCCTTTATTGCCATTTCATGAAACGTTTGCTTTTGAGAATTCAAAAGTGGAACTATTAATGTTAATAATCGATTGTAGGCATGTCATAGTCGTTGAAAATTATTTATCAACATCGACTACCGTGCGTGAGCGTCGAAACAAGATGGTCCCCAAATCCTTCATTTTTTCGCCACCAACCGGTTGAATGATAAATTTTCTTACAATTTTCCAAATTCATATAGTCTTTCTCATGCTTATTTGAATTGAAGTTAGTCTGAGTTATATATGTAAAGATAGATAACAGAGAAATATAATTTAAAGTACTTAAATTTAAATGTTTTTGAGCTGTGGCGTACGCAACCCCCACACAATAAAATATGCACCCGAACATTTTGAAATGTGCGGCCATGTGTGCAGAGTACTGCTCAGTATTTGGCTATTAATGCCCACTCAAATTATGCAAAATTTATTTGATAACTTATCATCTTTACCGATTTCTTAATTTGCATTAAACGTTTCGCTTGCAAAACATCTTTCTTCTCTCTACCATCGCGATAACCTTTCCTACTAGGAAGATGTGCCTTAAAGATTTTTGAGCATAGTCAAGGTTTATCAGCATAGTAAATCTGTTACAAGCTCTTTAAAAACTTAAGTCATTTGAAAGAAAATGAAAACCTAGAATATCAGAAACTAATTTTCGGCTTCTGTTGACAATATAATCAAAAAGTGATCATTTCTCCACAATTTTGTTGAATTCCTGTAAATGTAGTATAAACTGATAGAATTCGCATATTTGGTAGCCGAATATTTATTTATATCATATGGCAGGCGTTTGATAGTTATCATTAGTCATTTAGTTGAATTCAGGATTCACAGAGGCAAGGAGAATCAAAGTGAAAAAAATCGAAAGGGGAAGGGGAACAGAAGAGTGTTTCAAAGATGTAAAGAGAGAGACACCAAGGTAAAAAAAAGTTAAGTTGATCACTGCGGAAGTGGTGGAATATGACATAAGTCGGGTCATGGCAGTTTGAAATCAGAGGTTAACTGCCGGATAAAAGACGTATGAGTATACGTCGCCCAGGGTGCACCACGTGGAGGTAAGTCTATCACACACCCCTGGTAGTCAAATATAAAGATACCATAACTTATAACTTATTTACTACTTGTATAATTATGAGTAGTGTCGCTTCAGTCATTACTGGTTATATATGCGCATTCATCTTTGAAACTGCATTTTCCCAGATAAAATTCAAATAAAAAATTATTTATTCCAAATAACTGCTAATCTAAAACAAGATACAACAATTATTTTCAAAGCAACCAACTTTATAACGAATTTTTCCCACGGATTTCCCATCCAACACTCGAAATATTCCTTTGTGTTCTAAAGAATTTTTAGATTCAATTGACAGTTAATTAATTGACTATTATACTTAAAACATATGACCCAACAAGTGAGCAATGGTTCTGTTGTCAGCGAATTTCCTAAAAAGTGCATGCTCCAAAAAAATACTAACAACGCACCTGGACTAGTTTGGTTCCAAATTTGAGGGAATGTCTTGACTCTACTTAATTCGCCGAGTTAATTGATTAGTGAAGGAAGATTCATTTATCTTCAATTCTTCAATATTTGGTACCCTTTCTTACGATTTTAATTATTCGGATTCATTGCAACACCTCCTGTTGTTGCCTCAGATTGGTTGCCCTTCGCATTGAGGCCGTCTCATAAGCATTTCATAGAATTACACAGTTTTTCCATCTCCTTATGACTCACAATTATTTATTTATTTATATCGAATGACAGGAGTTTTGATAGTTATCATTAGTCCTTTAGTTGATTCCAGGTTTAACAGAGGAGAAAAAGTGGAGAGGGGGGGAACAGAAGAGTGTTACAAAGATATAAAAGAGACAGACACAAAGGTAGAACAAAGGTGAGATGAGTACAGTGGAGTATTCGAATATGACATACAGTGGGGTGATGTTAGTTTGAAGTGAGAAGTCAACTGCCGATAAATAGACTTTTTTTGCCGTATGAGAATACGTTGCCCAGGGTGCACCACGTGGAGGTAAGTCTATCGTACATCCCGCTTCATAATTATAGCATCCAAACAAACAACCATTTTGTTTTTCTTCTTCCCACTTTTAATAATAAAAGTCATTGACGTGAATGCTCACAGAGTCATCGTACCAGTTTCCAGAAGCAGCGAACATCGGGAAATGGCCATTTCCAAACAGTAGTAATAGACAAAGAGTGTACATCAAATTGCCACGAGAGTTCAAAAGGTTAAGAGCGAGGTGAAGGTTTGAGGATGCGTGAAAATTTGGATCAATTGGACAAGGACGCGCATAGGACTTGAGCGCTTATGAATTTTAGATGAAACAGGGGTTGTGGGAAAATTTAAATCAATAAACTTGTTTTGATATGACAGATAGGGCTTCCGGCTTCCGGAGCAAAAATAAAGCGAAACAAAAAGATAACAAATATGACTTGAGGGTGATTTTTTTTGCGAGAACAAGGAGAATCATCCTAACGCTTTCCTCCATGAGTTCATCTGAACTATTAACCATTAACCAAGGAAAACGCAGTTATTCGAATGAAAATAAAGAATGTATTTGTCCTGATGCAACAAGGACAGTTAATAATAAAAGGTATTACAAAATTACATCACAAAATGCTGATATTTTTGTTAAATTACGCAATTAACAAGCATTAGACAATGAAAAGAGGACACCACAAAATATGCACAACCTGAATTCTAAGGAAAAATAAATGTAAAAACTGTCAAATGTCTTGTCTCTGATTACCGCTAATACTCGACGCTGATTGGATAACTTCTCACACAGAGTAAGATTTTTTACCTATTTTTTTAGGAAAAAATATTTTAAGTTGAGAAATTCTGAGGTGAATAATTTTCACTGACTTTTAAATCAGAATATCTTGATATTGACTTTATCAGCAACCTACTGAAATTATTGAACTGCTCGTGTCTTCCATGTGCCTGATGTCATCTTAATTAATAGTTTTCCTTTTTTGCTTTAACCTTTGCGGTCTGGGGTGTGCGATAGACTTACCTCCACGTGGTGCACCCTGGGCAACGTACACTCATACGGCAAAAAAGTCTATTAACCGGCAGTTGACTTCTGACTCCAAGCCACCATCACCCACATTGTATGACATATTCGTCCACTTTCACAGTAATGTGAGAGTGGACGAATATGGCATAAAGTGGAGTCATGGTAGTTTGAAGTGAGAAGTTTATTTATTTATTTCAAATGGCAGGCTTTATGATATTTATCATTTGCCCTTAATCTTTGACTTCAGCTTCCCCCAAGAAGGGGGGGGGGGGTACATTTATAGCAGTTAATTAATAGTAGTTCATTAGCTATCTTCTTGCTACCCA